CACCTGATGCAAAGAATTGACTCATTGGAAAAGACCCTGATGCTGGCAAAGATTGAAGGCAGGAGAAGGGGATGATAGAGGATGAGATGGTTGAATGGCATCACCAAGTTGATGGATAGGAGTTTGAGCAAGCTCCAGGAGTTGGTGATGGACAGGGAAGTGCTGCAGTCCATGGGGTCTCAAAGAGTCAGTCATGACTGAGTGACTGAACTCAACTGAGAAGCTAGTATCAGAAAAGCTCAAGGCAGGAATTCCCTGGGCCGTCCAATGGTTAGGACTCTCTCACTGGGTTTGATCCCTGGCCACTCTCTCACTTGCTCTCACTGGGTTTGATCCCTGGCCAGGAAACTAAAATCCCAACAAGCCATGTGGCCAAAAATATATGAATTTTTTCTAAGACAGAAATTTGGCAAAGCTTAAAGTGTAGGCTAGAAGGAAAAGGAGAGGCTAGGGCAAAGTCCAGAACCCAGGTGGGGAGGTGGAACTCCTTGAGTAGCTGAAAATGAAGAGGATCTAGCAATCAGACATCAGAGCAAGGGAAAAGGTCAGACACAAATCAACAGCTGGGACCTGAGCCTAACAGACAGTAAAAAGAACAAGGCAACCCTAACAGGTCAGAGCAGGAAGGGGCTCAAGGCCAAGTTCTGGAGATGTGTTGGGGGCTGAGGAAGCCATGCCAAGGGAGAACAGATGCAGCCCATCATTTCCTAGACAGCACTGACAACCACCAGCTTCAGTGGAAGCCTCAGCTGGGGGCCGGCAGCAGCATCCCTGAAAGGAGGGAAGAGCAGTTTCTGGCACAAAGAACCAGGTTCTCCTTACCTGTTTTCCACTGAAGTGCACCCCCTTTCATCAAAACCCTTTACACAAGCAGGCTAACAATAAGAACTGACTGCTGTGTTTGCCACTGTATATCATGCCTGTTTTCACCCCTTCTCAGTTGAAGGTGTTCATCAACACTGAAATGGCAAAATGTGGGCTCAGAAGAGAGGAAAAGAAGGAAGCCTGGGAAACCAAAAATCTGGATAATCTGCACCAAATAAACCTTTCCTCCCTTCTATCCCTCCATTTATTCATTTGTTTATCATTCAATAACCTCTAGTGAGTCCCTTCTAAACGTATTGCTGCAGAAATTGTGGAGGCAATAAAAAAAGTTATCCTATGGTTTAGGACTTTTCAAGCCTTTGAATCACTTTCATCCCATGCCTGTTTGTCACAGAGCACTCAGTTTTATCTAGAAACATCTGATAAAGCTCAGGCAACCTGATCAAAGACTGTAGAAATCTGAGTATCTAATATTTTGCAATCTATCGAGCCAGCAAGCTAGCGTGACTCAAGTAGCAGTGTGAAGAAGCTGGATTTGGCCAGATTTTCCCTGTACAACTTGCCTGACTAAACAGTTTGCTCATATTTACTTTAAGAGAAAAGAGTATCCAAGTGTGATTTAAAAAAAAAAAGAAAAGGTAGTCTGGAGTTAGTCTATCATTAGTTTATCACTGCCCTTAGTCTATCATTACTTAAATATGCTACCACCTCTCTTTAATAGTAGTTAACTGTAGAATTTTACATATAAATTATGAATCTTGTCAAGTCTTTAAGTAGCTTCCTTCTTCTCTAGGCAGGTCTTAATTCTAAATGAAAATAACATGCCTGCAAATACACTACTGAAAGGCCCCTTCTCGTCATGACAGTACTTAATATAAACATCAGGAGATCATCATTTCAAGTGCGGTTAGGCTTGAAGGCAGCCCCGCGTGTTGTGAAGGTTGAAAGCTTAGACCATAGCTCTTTATTAATAGTAATTGCTTAGCCATTGTGCAACATCCTGGAACAACTGTTTGGTGAATGAAAGGGTAATTCAGAGCAAAGTAGACCAGATAAGAAAAACACTTCCAAACCACATTTCAAAATAGCTCCTTTGTGTCAACTGGGTACGTGTCTGCAGAGTAGAGTTTTTGTGAGGACAGGAGGATAGTATGGAGCCTTTACAATAGTGACATCCCCATCTGGTACTATCTTTATGGCAAAGCATGTTGTTGTACTGAGGTCTACACATGTGGTATCACAGAGTCAGGGAGCTCCAGGGTGGAACTGTGAGCCGGGCAGCCTTCATGAACCCAAAGACTGCTGCAACAGCTCACGTTGAGAAATGGCTTTCAGGCACATCAGTGAAACTTACGATCTTACGAGTACCGGCATTTCTTTTGAGGTATCACTTTACACTTCAGTTTTTCTTGGTAGAGTATTTTTCAGAGACTTCTCTTAGGAGGCTATATTAGGAATTTCTGTTCTTTATTTGAGTTCCAGGAACTTGTGCCTTTCCTGCCCGCCGTCCAAATTGGAAGATACAAACCGTGGGAAAACACGTCTTTACAAACTCTATGGAGTGAGTGATCTAACTTGGTTTATTTAGCATATTCAGGAAGACTTTCATGTCCATGGAATCCCTGATTAATTCTAAGCTACCACTGTTTTTAAACGAGCTTCTGAGTTCTGCTGCAAAGGCAGGGGTGGGAAGCAAGTTCAAACCAAGGTTGACAGGTAGTAAGCTAACAAGAACACCTCGGTGTCCCCTGCTTAGATCAGGTTCTCCCTTTCCAATATTTACTCTTCCTCAAGCAGGAAAAGGGAAAGAAATTAAAAAGCGAGGTATATAAATAGCGTAGTGGGATTTGCTTAATTGAAGTTCTAAAGTCGAAAGAATCCACATCTGTGCAGCTCTGTCACAGGCACTGTAAAAGCAGGCTGCAGACAGCAAGCCTCTAGCCTGGTGACCTTCGTCCATCTCAGGGATGCCTGGGAAGGATGCTGGTGCTAACTTTAGACCCAGAGACTAAGATGCACAAAGGACAAGTATCATAACAGACTTTCAGAAACAGATTTAAATTCCTTCTGCTCTTCCTCCAGAGCACAGTCATATCCAGGCGAGCCGCTGTTAGGATGGGTGCCTTCAAAGGCTTCAAAGACTGCTTGAAACGGGTAGCTACAAGCCACTTTACTGAGAAAGCATGCAGTCTTAGATGTTTTAAGAAATAATTGACAACAAAGACCTGCGTGAGCCGGGCTCTTCTGGGTCAGAGAGCTTTCAGATCAGTTCTTTAGACTGACTCTCTTCAGTCTTGCCTTTCTCCTCTCTCAGGGAAGACAAGAGTCCTAAGGCAAAGATCTGCCCACGTCAAGTAGGATCCGAGTAGAGGCCTTTCCCTCATTGTCTACCTTCTGGCCAGTGTTTACCAAAACACAAATATCAAATCACCTGGTAAAATCCCTTGAGATGCTTGTTAAACATGCAGATCCCTAGAACTTCCACCTTCTGCCTCATAGATACTGATGCCAGAGGTTGACTTTGTGACAAGCATCCCAGGGGGGTTCCCTTGCACACTCGGGGGATCTTGGCCCTGAGAAGAAGTTTGCTTTGCACTATGCTTCCCAAACATGGCATCCAGATCATCTGACCTGAGGAGGCTTTTTGAAAACATAAATCACTAAAGTAGCACACATGAAGAATAGAAACAATATCCTAAATAAAATCAGAAACTATCCTTCTGCTTGCCACTGTTTGGTGTTAATTCTTCCAGATTTTTATCCTGTGCATCCACATAATTTAAGGAGCCAAGGGTCATTTCATGCAGATTGCTCTGCAGCTTGGTTTTTTCCCAGCTTGTTTTTGGTTAATAGAATATAAAATAGACTTGCTTATATATCTATCCCATGCATTAACACACGGGTCACAACTCAGATGCCCATAAGGGTTCAGCAGACAATATAAATGAGTTTTGCGAACCTGGCTTGGAATTGTAGAAAATGGGGTTCCCATTTACTAGAATTAGAAGCTATCCACCGATAGTCAAATTGTTGCCATTTGGGAATGCAGGCCCAGAGTTCACCAAATCTTCAGGAGACGGAAGAAATCTGAATTTATCTAATGTGTAACATCCAGATTTTAAAATACTGGTAACTAATTCAAATTAAATACCAGATGAATCAATCAAAATGTTTTTAATCCAGACACTGATCTCAAATCACCTTTTGAAACCTCTATTGCAATGTGTACATCATCAAGTAGGTCACATTTAAAAACCTTTCTTGTTTTTAACTAACAGAATACAAAATGCTATATTGCTGGACCCTTAGGCTGTGACATTACGACTGCTACAATGGACATTCTTGCCTATGTCTGTGCTTGCAAAAATAAATCTAGAAGGTTGAAAATTTCCCTGGAAAAGGTTGCACCAATTTGCAGTTCTATTAATAGTTCACGAGGGGGTCCTTTTCCGGGAGGCTCTAAGCATATTCCCAGGACACTCTAAGCCAACCCAGAGATTAGACACAGTAGGTCTGAGATGGAGGCTGAGACTGTATATTTTCTTAAGCTCCCAGATGATTCTGATGATCAGAGATTTTGGAACCACTGTCTTGGATTATTAACGAGTTGTTTGGGACCATTTCCAGTGAGTTATAAAGGAAATCATAAATACTTTCATCTGAATTTCTGTTTTAGGCTGTTACCTCTAATTACTGCCCTCTATGAAAACACCAAAGGGCTCTGCTGCTGCTGTTTCAGGTAGTTCAGTCGGAGCAGAACAATAAATAAACCAATCAGGAACCTTCAAGCAGCTTTTATTGGCACGGCCTCGGAAAAGGTGTGGCAGTCATTTCTGAGCAAAAACCTGTAGCCCAGCAAGTCTTCAGTGTTGTGTTTAAAACACCACTGAACCAGGAAGTTTAAGTTCCTGAAACAGATGTTCCAAGTCACTAAGAGGCTCCGAAATCAAGAGATCAAGCTCTGCTGGCTCTGTAAGATCCAAGAGGCAAAGAACAGTCCTGGAGATGCATCTCAGTTATGGGATGACCGAAATGGCAGGAAACAGTATCAGGTTTTCTAAGGCTGACTCTTGTTCGCTCCCCCATTACAAGGAAGATGCATTTCAGTCGTGGCACAGAAATCTCCTCTCCGTTCAGTCTTTGCCTAAGCAGCTTCTGCTTAGGACGAGTGGCGGTTATAGGATGTGATCGTCAGGATGGTAGAGTTCACTCATCAGGCGGTAGATGTAGGAAGGTGCATTCCCACCAATATTGGAGATAAACAGAGTAATGAGCTCTGGAGGGACGTAGTCAAACACGGGGCAATGGACACTGACCTTCTCCAAGATGTCCCCTGAAAGGCAATCACACAAGCTAAAGACAAAACCGAGGCTCCTGTTCTAATAAGTATCTCATGGATTCTAGGCTCAATAACACAGGGATACTTGCCACCCCAAGGAAGGGAAGCTGTAGCAAAATACAAACCAGAAGAAAAGACATCTGATCATGATCTTCCCTGTGTTTACGACTCTCCAATACCTTCCCATAGAAAGGCAAAAAAAGTTTCAAATTCGGGATTGCAGCCATCAAGACTTGGGCCCTCCCACTGCACTACACTGTAGGCCGTTATCGCTCTCCCTCTTGCTCTCCAGCCACATGGCCATCTTTTCCCACCTGGCTAAGCATGTACCTAACTCAGGTCTTTTGCACCAACATCTGGAAAACTCTTTCCTTCACCTTCACGTGGCAGGCTCTACTCCTTCAGGAATCAGCTGAAATGCCATCTCATTAAGTCCCTTCCCCAATCTAAGGTAGTCCCCTAGTCACTTTCCATCATATCATCCATATTTTCTTCCTAAAACACTTCATGCCCTGACATATTCTTGTCTGTCTTTTGCAACATGATTTAAACTCTGGGGGAGCAGGGCCCATCTGTGTTAATCACTGTTATATCCCTAGTGCCTGAAATAGTGCTGGATACACAGTGGGTACTCAAGAGTTATAATCTTTCTTGAAAGAATGAATGTTTGAATAAATGGTGAAGCTATTAAATTTCCAAGAAGAATCAGCACTCCAGGTACTATGTTCTGCTCCCGGAGGATGTTAAAGATCATGCAAACTGTTGATGAGGCAGCAAGCTCACTGAGCAAAGTTGCTGCCTTCAGAAGAAGAGAAAAGGTCCCCAACACACAAAAGTGTCCAGACTACAGGCAAGTTTTATAAGTAACATTTCAGAGCCTGCTTCCTTTAGCAGTCACATCACCAAAATGACTCCCTGCAGCAACCAAAATCAAGTACACTTTCTGATTGGGCTGTTGCCTGTATCTCAACTTGCAAAGCCAATCCCAGTCAATGCCAGGTGATCCAACCCCACATGGTCCCCATAACTCAGCTAAAATATATTAGTTTCAGAAGAAAATGAACATGGATTAGGTCAGGTCTGCAAACACTCTAAGTTGCTAAAGAGAACAGTCCCCACAAGAAGTATGATTAATAAAACACAGCCCAACGACATTCAATCCCATTGACCACCAAAAGACCAAAACAAATATATACAAAAATCCAAAACACACCAACTGCGTGTGCCATACACATTCAAGCAACTTCTGTACCTTCTGTGAAAGGCAGGACTTCTTCAGGAGCCACGAACTTGTGAAATGAATCTTCTTCATTGGGGAACTGGAAAAGGAAAAATTAGGAAGAGAAAAAGAGAGACCTGACACTTTGACTTTCAGGTATACACCCAAGAGAAATAAAAAGACATCCAGACATTTGATTACAAAGGCTTATTGCAGCATTACTTACAAAAGCTAGAAGGTAGAAATAACCCAGACGCTGATCAACAGATGAATGGATGATTAAATTGTGGTATATCCATACAACAGAACATTATTCAGTCACAAAAAAGGAACAAAGTATGTGCTATAACTCAGATGAACTCCCAGAATATTTAGAAATCAGAAACAAAAGGGTCCATACTGTATGACTTCTTTTATGTGAAATATCAAAATTAAGCAAATCCATAGAGACTCAAAGCAGATTAGCAATCACTAGGAGATGGGGAAAAGAAAGAAGGGAGTGATTACTTAATGGGTATAGAGTGTTTCTCTGGGATGATGAAAAAATTCTGAAACTAAAGAGTGGTAGTTGCACAATGCTATGATTGTACTAAATGCCACTGAACTGTACATTTTAAAATGGTTAATTGTGTATTATGTGAATTTCACTTCAATTCTTTAGTAAGTAGACACCTATAGATAGGTTGTTATTTTCAAAGCAAGTAGTTTCTATCATTGGTAAAATGAGTCTTTACTTAGTAACTGCTTGTGTTCAGGCTACAGAATACAGTTCCTGGAATTATGACAAATAAAAACCAACTCTATGTTTCTAGTTTCAACTTGCTTGGCATTTTCAGAAATGGTCAGGGTGACAGGGGAGTGGTGGCAATGTAGACAAAGGGCCTTCCCCAACTACATATTATCCTGACCTTACAATTTTGATCTCCTAAAGCTGAAAGGTTGTAACTATCAATGGCTCTTCTTGGATCAAGACCACTGTGACCTTTTCCAGTCTCCACTGGGTCTAATCCACCGAGTAAATGCAGAAAAAGAGAAATCCCAGAGTGAGAAGGTTGAAGGTTAAAGAGTTCACACCTATACTTTGACTTCCTTCTGTTGGCTAGAGACAGACAGACATACCTGTGAGGAAAGCTTGAACATAGGAGCACAGACGATGAGTGGGGTGGAATGGTGTTTTGCTGCCAGTGCTAGAGTATGAGTTCCTGCCACAGCTCGCAGGGCACCGTTGGCCAGGATGGTCTTTGTGCCAATGATCACCTTTGGGACAGGAAGAAAGAAGCGAGAACTCCCGAGAACAGAGTCTTCAACAGGCCATTGGGCATGAGCGCCTGAATGCTTAGCTCCCAGTCTTGGCAATTAGCAGGGGGTGGGCGTGGGGGTCACACACCAGGAGAGGGAAAGGGATTCTAGGTCAAGTTCTAGCATAAAAGTGGATTCCCAAGGGAAAAATAAACATAGTACAGGACAGAAAACTGCAGTGTTTATTGCTCTTAGCCCTGTCTTCTCTGGAAATCTATCTGCCACACCTCCTGAGAAGTGGGAAGCCTTTCTTCTACCATCTACCACTACCAAGCTCTCTGAGCAGAAGTGGGCAGCTCTCGACCAGATCTCTAATATGCTGACATGATTAGCTTAGTCCCATTTCATTCCTTTCAATCCTTTAACCACAATGAGGTGCCTCCAAGGGAGAACAGAGAAGGCAATGGCAACCCACTCCAGTACTCTTGCCTGGAGAGTCCCATGGACAGAGGAGCCGGGTAGGCTGCAGTCCATGGGGTTGCTAGGAGTCGGACAGGACTGAGCGACTTCACTTTCACTTTCATGCAATGGAGAAGGAAATGACAACCCATTCCAATATTCTTGCCTGGAGAATCCCAGGGACAAGGGAGCCTGGTGGGCTGCTGTCTATGGGGTTGCAAAGAGCCGGATATGACTGAAGCAACTTAGCAGCAGCAGCAGCCAAGGGAAGAATAAAGAGGGGGGATCAATATTAATAGAATAAGAGATTTAAAAGGTCCATGTACGTGTTTTCAAAAGGTACTAGAAACTCTCCTCTCTTCTTATAGATATTGGGGCCAGGGAGGGGGGCAGATATTAATATTTTAAAGTATAATCTTCATAAATTTGATGTAATAGAACTCAAATGCACCCACCTTGTTGACTCTTGACATAACAGCAAAAATGGCAGCATCAGTCATGACAGTTGTCTCAATACCTGCTTTAGACAAATTGACTGCCATCTCATGACCCTGCATTTGGAGAGAAAGGCTGATGCTGAGAGGAAGAGTGGGAGAGAGAGAAAAAGCTTTCAAACATAACTGAATCTGGGGGACTGTGTGACACTGGGCATATCCAACATGCAACTTCCAACAGGTAACTAACTCATATGGTAGGTGTTCTCTGGGAAGCAGCAAGAAGCCCAGGGGAAGCTAATTAATGTTTATTACTCCCCAGCAGTGCTGGGACAGGCACAGAACTGGAAATACAACTTGCTTGTGTAACTGGGCAGAGAGCACAGGACAGCTCCTGGCTCATTATTTTACAACATCCTTGCATCCTTACATATTTCCTTTCTGGAGACCTATTATTTACCTGAAGACTGAGTGAGGTCAGACCAAGCATCAGTCATCCCCAAGGTTATTTACCGTATTCTGATTTCTGAAAGAACTAATATTTATCTTTTCTTGGGCCAAGTAGTTCACTCAACTTCCTTAAATGAATACTTTAAGAATGTTCACAGGATCAACAACGTGAAATTCTCTTAAATGTTTTACTCTACCTCCTCAACGTCTGAATCACATCAATTCAAAGACGGCATGGAGCCCACCGACCTCTCCTTTATTCTCTCCTCATTTTAAATTTTTCTTAGCATCTCCAGCAGTCCCCATACCTGACAGAAAGGTGCACACTCTGCCACGATGACATGGAATTTCCTCTTTCGGGCAGCCTCTTTGAGGAACGCCTCCACTGTGCGGGAGAAGCCAATGGTCATGATGACCTCATTGGAGTGGATGTGCTCCAAGGCCTGGGCTGCGATGTTCTCCGTTGTCCCTTCTGCAAGAAGCCAGTTTTGCATGGAAAATACGACACAGCCATGCTACAACACAGACTTGAGAGAGAACAGAAAGGGACCTGTACCCTTCTTGTACACTGCCCACCTAGCAGAGCCTGGTAACACATGGTCAATGGACTAAACATGAAATGTCCTATTGCCTTAAAAGCCCCTCCCTCCAGGGTTTTCTATCTCCCAAGCTCTCAGCCTACCGTCTCGCCCAGCAGTACCCCTACTCATCAACTTACTCCCCTCACCCCTAGCCTGCCCCAAAACTAGTTCTTTACAACTGACTTTGAAGACAATGAATTTAGGCAAGAAATGTCCCATCTGGGAAATTTGAAAGTGCTGACAGTAGGGTAAACAGAGTTTCCCTCTAAAAGAATTCCTCCTCCAAAAGGTGGCCACAATGCCTCCACGTGACAGGGAGGACACAGAAGAAAAATAGGGGAGGAATTTGGAAGAAGCAGCTCAGTGCAAGCAGCTCAGTGCACAGAGAGACCCAGTTTCTTCCTTTCCTGGGAACACTTCAGGGCAATAAATATCTGGTCTCCTAGGTCACAAAGACAGGAGGGATAAAAGTGGCTTGTATGTATGCATATGGGTATGTATGTGTGTGTGTATGTAAAATTTCAAGAAGTTGAGTGAAAAAGGGTTTATCAACTATGGTTTTCAGAGGTTCATCTTAAAAAATAAAAGCTCTTCCTAAACAGCCTTTGCCACAGTGGATTTGCAGTCGATAAGGGGTCAGTCTGTAAGGAAATGTAGAGAGGGTTATCTGAGTCTTGCCACCTATTCCAATCGTTCTTAATCAGGATGAGGGCAAACCTCTGAGAACCAGAAGACTGGTTATCTCCCATCTCTGCTTATGAACAACTTCCAGGGTCTTCTATTCCCTCATCTGCCTGCAACTTGTCCTGTTCACCTAAGGATCAGGACTCACCCAGTTCCACCAGCAGCTCATTAATTGCCTCAATGATGTTGGACTGGAGTTGAGCATAATGGGAACGGAAATCCTCGCTCAGGCCCCCGGATGTCAAGAGTTTGTGCAGAGACTCCTGCTGATCGCTCTCGTCGCTGCGTCCGTGGAGTCTACGAAGGCAACAAGACCCAAAGGAGTTGGGGGAAAAGATGTGGTCATTTAAGTAACGACAGCTGCTCAGCTCCAACAAAGGCTCCAAGCAGGGGGAGAGAGGGGCCCGTGCAAAAAGCTTCACTGGGCCCAAGCCCCGGTTCAGGATGTGGGCCTGACCTGCCATACTCCTCCCGGATGATTCTGAGCACTCTCCGCACCATGTTGCCCACGGTGGTCTCTGAGGGTTGCGCGGCCGTCATCCTCCGGCCTTCTCTGCGGATCAGTTCCATCAGCTCCCCTACCGTCCAAAGAGAAAAGGTGAGGGCGAGAAGCGCGCGGGGTGGGGCCTGGGCGACTTTCCGCCTGGGGATCGGGATCAGAAAGCGGGGAGGCCTGCCTCACCTGCATTGCTCCAGTGGTGGTCCGTGATGATGCGGCGAAGCAGCCCCAGAGTCTCCCGGGCCATGTCCTCGGAGCTGCGCCGCCCGCCGCCCCGCTTCAGCGCCTCCACGAAACTCTCGATCCTCTCGGACAGCTCCGAGCCCTTGGCGGCTGCCCCTGGCATCTCGAAAGAAGCCGCCTTGCCGGCGGAATCCACACCTGGCAGACCTCCGAGCTTGCACTTCCGGGGCAGGAGAGGTCGGCTTCCGCTCTGCTAGAAAAAAAACTCACCCTTGGGAGAAGACTGGGCCACGCCCCTCTCTGCTAACTCCCGCCCCCCACCCCGACAGAGCCAATCAGACTCTTGGAACTCGATGTGTTACGTTTACCGCCGAGCGTCCGCGGGCCTCGGAGGTTAGAAGGCTGGAAGTGTCCTTTCCTGGCTTCTCGATCACTGAAGACTTGACGGTTGACGCCACAAGAGGGTGGCTAGTCCCGTTGCTGTGGAAACAGCCAGTCTGAGAGGCCCCTACCACTTCCCGAGGCTACGCTGGAGAAGTTGCAGGCCTACTTCCCGGTCCCTCAGCTTCGGTGACGACCAGAGTGCGGCTCCAGGGTCCGCTCCCCCTAGGGCAGACGCCCCGTTATAATGCTGTCTCTGTCTCTCTAATAGGTTGAGCTCCCTCATTGCAGGGACCACTTTTTTTTTTTTTTTTTGCCTTTGCCTTTTCAACGTCTAGCACATCTCCTCAGAGATGAGGAGACCGAATATCCACCAATAAGGAGATTCAGAGTGGCAGTTAATATGGGAGCAAAGATGATGTCCTTCCATCGGGACAGACTAGAGACTGGGGAGTAAAACATATAACACGACCGTTTACTTTGAGTTTACTAGGTGTTGGACACTGTGTATGAATTGTCTCATCTAGTGCATCTCTATGAGATAGGTCCTCTTATCCTAATTTTACACATCAGAAAACAAAGCTACAGGATTTTAAGCAGTTAATAAGGGGGTGCGCTTATATTTAAATCCAGTTGTGTCTGAACCTAAAATCTGTGGGTAATGAGAATCTCTATTTCCTTAAAATAAATCTTAGAAATGGGGAAAAAAAAAAAGAAATGGAATCCTTTGGCACGCACTTTTCTAAGACTTTTGTTACAGTTGACAAATTGCCTTGCAGAAAAATATATCAGTACCAAAATCAGACAAAGATAATACGAAAAAAAGAAAATTAGAGACCAGGGTCCCTCCTGAATGCAGATACAAAGAGCTGCAACAAATTATTAGCAAACCAAATTCATCAGTACATAAATGATTCATGTAAGGACTTCCCTGGTGACCCAGTGCTTTGGAATCCACCTCCCAGTGAATGCAGAGGACACAGGTTCAATCCCTGGTCTAGGAGGATCCCACATATTGCAGAGCAACTAAGTGTTGTGCCACAACTACCAGAGCCTGCGCCCTCTAGGGCCGGAGAACCGCAACTGCTGAGCCCCTGCGCCACAACTACTGAGGCCCATGTGCCTAGAACCAGTGCATCACAACAGAGTAGCCCTGCTCACCACAGCTAGAGAAAGCCTGCGTGAAGCAATGAAGACCCAGCAGTCAAAAGTAAATAATAAAATTAAGATTCATGTATAATTATCAAGTATAATTTAAATCTGGAAGGCAAAGCTGTTTCAATATTTGAAAATCAATTTGAGAACTTTATGTTAATATTCTAAAAAGTAAAACCACATGACCGTATCAATTGATGCAAGAAGCATTTGACAAAAATCAACAGCCATTGAATTAAAAACAAAAACCCTTAAAAAACTAGAAATAAGGAGGAACATCTTCAGCATGATAAGGGCCATCTACAAATCCTGTACCTAACATCATACTTTGTGGTCAAAGAAAATTTCTCTCTTAAGATCAGAAACAAGGCAAGAATGTCCTTACCACTCAAATTTAAACTCAAAGATCTAGCCAGTGCAGTAAGACAAGAAAAAGAAATTTAAAAGCATACAGACTGGAAAGAAAGAAAACTAACAGAAAACATCATTGTCTTCATAGAAAATCCCAGAGAATCAACAATAAGAAAAAACTTCCTAGAACTAATTTAGCAAAGATGCAAGGTCAACACACAAAAATCAATCATATTTCTATATACTGTTAATGAATAATCAGAAACCAAAATTGAAAGCATAATAACTCCCCAAAGCCATCAAGTATTTATCAATTTACCATGTTAAGTTTAAAATGTCTGAAAAGTTGTATCAGTTTACAGGCTTGCTAGCACTTATCATGTTCTGGCCAACCTTGGATATTGTCATTATTTTTCCAGATATAAAGACATTAAAAAAAAAGATATGTACTGTTTTATAATACAAAAGAATATATGTGTGTGTATATAACATGTATATGCAAGTTATGAAATGGCAATAAATGAACACCTGTGAGCCCATCTGTCAACTTGAAAACTAAAATCTCAAATTCGTAGACACAGAAAGTAGAATGGTGGTTGTCAGAGGCTGGAGGGAAAGATTATTTATTGTTTAATGTACAGAATTTCAGTTTTACAAGATGAAAGGAATTCTAGAAATGGATGTGCATTTATATTGTATAATAGTGTAAGTGCATTTAATGCCACTGAACTGCACACTTAAGGGTTAAAATGGTAAATTTTATGTGTATTTTACCACAATTTAAAAAATAGATATGTGAAATTTTAAGAAAACACCTAAAATACTGCCAATACCATCACATCATGTGTCTGCTCTTCTCCTAATCCATGTCCTTGCCTTCTACCACACTCAAGGATAACCACAAAATTTTGATTGATATGCCTTTGCTTTATAAAAAAAGTTTTATATATTTACAGCCCCTAAATTAACAAAGTGCTTAATTTTGCTTATTTAGAATTTTTTATAAATGGTATTATAATGTAATCTTCTACAAGTTGCTTTTTTTTTAAACTTGATATGATGTTCCTAAAATATCCCTCCATGTTGCTACATGTGTCTATAGTTCTGTTTGCACTGCTGCATAATGTTCCGTCATGTGACTATACCACAATTCATTTTCCTTCAACAGATATTTGGGTTGTTTCCAGTCTTTCTGGAGGGTGAGAGAATATAAACTATAAATATTCTTGTGTATATCTTGGCATACCTACAAGTGGAACAGCTAGGTCATAGGCTATGTGAATATTCAACTTTACAAATAGTGCTAGTATTCCAAAGTGGTTACATCAATGTATGCTCCCTCCAGAAGTGCTTAAAGAGTTCTAGCTGATCTACTCCATGCCAACACTTGGTATTATTTGTGGTTGAGGGAGGTGGGTGGAATCAGATAGATATAAAAGGATGTATCATTGGCATCTTAATTTGTTTTTCTGATTACTAATGAGGTTTTTTTTTTCATATGTTTATTGGCCATGTCCTTTTTCTCCTTTGTGAAATATCTGTCTTTTACCTACTTTCTTTAGGCAAAGGAAAAAAAAAACTTTTCCTAATATATTTGTAGGAGTTCCTTATATATTCTGAATACTAGTTTTTTCCCCTTAATTTATGGCTTGTCTTTTTACTCACTTTGAGATGTCTTTGAACAAAGTTCTTGATTTTAATATGATGGAATGTACCAATCTTGTCTTTTATAGTTAATGCCTTTTGTGTTTTATTTAGAAAATCCTTCCCTAATCTAAAAGCATAAAGATAATCACCTGAATCTTCTTCTGAGTAATTTTACAAATTGCCTTTACACATAATTTTGAATTACTTTCTATATAGGATGAGAAATGAGATGTAATTTTATTTTCTTTCTTCAGTGATTTTCAGTACTATCATGGTAATTTGTGAAATTTCTATATTGTGAGAGTCTGTTTTGGGGCCCTCTGTTTGTTCCTATTGCTAAATTTGCCTGTCCTTGAATCAATATTACATTATCTTAATTACTACAATCTTTTTTTTTTTTTTAAGTCTTGCTATCTGTTAAGAAAAACTCTCTTACCATATTCCTTTCTTTAAGAGTGTCTTTAGTTTGGGGCCTTTGCTCTTTCATGTATATTTTAGGAATAAAACATCTGTTTCTCAAAAATAAAAACCCACTCTATTGAGATTTTGTTTGGCATTGCTTTAAATCTCTAAACCAATTTGAGGACAATTGACATCGTTAAGATACCAAGTCCTACTATCCATGAACATGGTATATATCTGCATTTACTTAGGTCTTCTTTAATGTTGTCCAGTAAAATTTTATAATTTTCTTCATTTAGGTCTTGCACATCATGTATATAAAATTTCTTCTTAGGCATTTTATGTATTTGTCTGTATTGTAGATGAATATCATTCTTTTTCATCATTGCCAAATTAATAGAGAAATACAGAAACTACTTTTAATTTGTACCCTTTTGCTCATTAATAATGAAGAGCCTTTCTTCATATTTATTTACCATTTGCTTTTCTTCTCTTATGAGGTACTGGTGCATGTGGTTTGCCCATTTTTCTGATGTGATGTATAGCAGACATTCTGGTTGTTCATTGAATATCCATTTCTCTCTTTTTTCTTATTAGAAAGAACTTATTTTGTTTGGTTTCTACCCACAGGAAAGGTGGTTCTAGCTTATGAGTAAATCTTGATTGATCTAAACCAATCATAGCCATTCCATTCTCCTTTTTTTTTTTTTTAATAGATTGGGTATAGAGTAATCTATTTACTAGCCAGTGGAATGCAAAGGAAATCTGTTTGGCACTTCTTGGAAAGGTTTCCCTGTTCTAAAGAAAGAAACAGACAAGACTACTTAGCCTTGTCTATTTCTGGACTTCTTGGGTGAGATTCCTAGAGTTAATGCAGCTATCTTGTGACCCTGAGGTCTGAAGACTGAGAATAATGTTAACATGCTAAGGATTCCAGAACAGAAAAGCTGGAAGAACCTGAACTCTTGATAATGTCAACACTTAATGGCTATTTTACATATATTATCTCTTCATCCTTAAACCTATGAGATAGATACTATTAATATAGCCATTTTCAAAATAGGAAGCTAAGGCATAAATAGGATAAGTAACTTGCTCAGTGTCCCACACTCAGTAAATGGAAGGGCCGGGATGTAAACCCAACAACCTAGCTTCAGAGCCTTTACCGTTTGTCTATGTTTTGTGGTAGCTTTTTTAAAGTTATTGTGTGAAATCAACAAAATCAGA